CAGCTGGAGCCTGCTGAATCCTCCAAATCTGCTAGGTCCTCCCAGCAGATGCCTGTCTCTGTAAGGGCACCCCCCTTCCTCTCTCTTGCACGTGTATGGCTTTGAGGAGAAACCCCTTAATTCCCAAACAGGGTAATGCCGCCCTACGTCTGGGTCTGGGACTTCCCAGCTGGCTGATTTATTTAGGTTTGAATTGGATTTATGCACTGACTTCCTTTCTTGGAGAGGAAGGCATGACCCAGAATTCAGCAGAGGAGCGAAGCAGGAGGAAAGTGTGCACTGTGTGCAGAGGGTGGACATCAGCTGGCAGCCAGCCCACCATAGCTCAGGCGATGGGGAGATGGATAGAGAGAGCCACAACCCAGCCTGGAAGGAAGGTGAGAATCTGAAAACATTTCCAGCACAATGGATAAAATAGCCCCAATGCTGTGTGCTCTGGAGACTCTTGCACAGTGAGAGCTACTGGTTCCCTGGGTCCCTCTCCTGAGTGGGAGGAAGGGAGAAGGGAGTCCTCTGGGAAGCCACTGAGACCAGCTCTGTGCTGGTCACAGCCGCAGTGCTCTGAGGTCCAAGCCAGGAAGAGAAACAGCCTGGGTGAGGAGGGTGCTTCAGAGACTTGTCCTGTCTGCAGGAGGTGGGCGGGAGGCAGTGTCTACTCAACCTCTATAGATTGTTCAACATAAGGAGAGCATCCTCCTCTTTCCAAAAGAAGAAATGTTCTGATTTAAAATTTAAATTCAACCAAGTCAACACTTTCAAAAGCACAGCCCAACCACATCACTCTGTGGGCTGTACCCACACAGTAGGCTGCCTGGTTGGGACCTCTGTCTACCTATTCCCCGCCTCCCATAGATTTGAGGTGTCACCGTCTCTGTTTTACAGACAGGAAACGGAGGTCATAAGGCAGAGGGACTTGCCAGTAGGGGCAGGGCTGAGAATCACAGTTAGATGCAGGAGGAACATACCCTACCTTGGGCATAGGGAATTCACACGCTCCTGCGCAGTAGTAGGCGTCAAAGGATTTGGGGGAGATGATCCATTCATTCCACCCAATGTCTGCAAAGTCCACCTTCAGATACCTCCGCGAGCATACCCTGGGCTCGTCCCACTGCTTCCTCCGGGCTTTCTGCATCGTCTTTTCATCGAAGTGCAGCATCTGCGATGAGGCCATGAGCACATCTTGCCCCTTCTTCCTGCGGTCCTTGCGCCCCGGCCGGGGCTTCAGCGCCCGGAAGGGGCCGGGCCACAGTTCGTGCTTGTGGTAGAGCTGGGCGTGGGCGTCTTGGGCTGGCCTCTCATCCAGCCCTGGCAGCTCGTTGTCCTGGAGGGGCCCAGTGGCCTGTGTGGCTCGCCGCACGCGGGGGTCTGACGAGCTGTTGGGGGCTGCGCGGGGCTCCAGATCTCCAGCTTGGAAGGGGTCATATCTTTGCAGTGTCACTGCCACACTATTGGGCTCGGAGATGGCCAGGTCGTTGGCATAGATGAGGATGTAGGGCGCATGGGGGCTGGGCCTGAGTGCCCCATGGTCCTTTTCCCCAGAATCCAGCTGCGCAGAGAGGAGCAGCTCACCATCCCGGCGGGCCGCCTTAACGATGGGGGAGATGTCCTTGGCCTGCCACAGGCCCCGTGGTGGGGGCGCCAGGGCCATGGCCCCTCGGAGCAGCCCCTGTGTGGCTGTGTTCTGCGAGAGGCTGTGGAAGAGCAGGTGCTGGCGTGAGGGTGGGACTGGGGGCAGCAGACGGCAGGATGTGTTCTTGGCACGCTGCTTGCATGGCACCTCACGGGCCCGGGGCCACCTCGGCTCTGAGTAGAAGTGGAATGTGGCCGAGAGGATCATTTCCGAGTCCTGCATGGAAGTCAAGTTGAAGAAATACACTGCCTTCTGGTTGATCACTTCTGCCAGGGAAGGACAGACCACAGCCTGTTAGGTTCTCTCCCACACAGGCCCCTGTGCTTGCCGGGTCTCCCACCCAGGGCTGGGCTGGAAGAGGAAGACCCATTTAAGGAGCATTTCCAGGCTAGTCAGGCTGTCCTCGTCTCCTGTAATCCTCATGTTAAACTGACGAGGGAGCCTGCTGTTAACCTCAATGAGTAAATGAGGAATTAAGGTCAGAGAGACTGGAGATTGTCAATATCTCATTGCAAAAGAGGAGATGTAGCAGCAGACAGGGTAGGTGCTCAGGTCTGCTCGACCTTAAAACTCCTGTCTTCCCATCCATGTCCCCTCCCCCCCCCACACACACACATACTCACAGTCCAATGCCTCTCAATGAACAAATTATCTCTGACACCTTCATTAATGAGATAAGGTGGGATCAGGTGTTTGGGTTGGGTGGAAGTGCTGGTGACAGCAGTCCCTCCGGTATTTGCACGCCCTCTATTTTACATACATTAAATATAGCCAGTATTCCAAATAAGGGGAAATAAGTAGATGGCCTCAACTGTTACTGCATTCTGAGGAAAATTGGTGTAAGAGCAGAGCCATTTGGGTGTCTACTATTTGTTCGTACCAAGGGCTCTTAAGTTTTACAAAAACAAACAAACAAGATTTTACAATGAAAGAAATCAGGGTTGCACAAGGTCACTCAACAAAATTTCCAATATCCAGGTCGCTCTCCAAAGGCCTAAATCATGATAAGGACCAGGATCACTCAAATATCACATCCGCAGCTCGAGGATGATCCAGCACCTGTATCCCTGGGGCTGTTAACCACCCCTTCCTTCTCTTCTGGTTCTGTCAGATGTACCCCAGGGCCCCAGGCCAAGCCCCCTCATCTACAGCCCCAGGAAACTGCCTGGCCTGGCAGCATGAGTTCTCTGAATGGCCAAGTCCTCTCTAGGGTTCGGAAGGGAGGGAGGAGTCATTCCCCAGGCCTTCAGGTGATCCTGTGGACTAGCAGGAGGTGAGAGCAACCAGGTAGGCTGCCTCCTTCCTGCTGCTTTACGTCCTGCTGCCGGTGTCAGTCTGCTGGACAAAGCAGGGAGAGGAACAGGGCTTTGGAGGGCAGGGCTGTGTATGTGTGCAGGGATGCTGGGCTCTCCAAAGGGCATGTGCCGGGGCCACCTGCACCTATGGGATCAGCTAGAATTTTTTTGTTTGTTTGTTTAACTAAAACCTTCAGGTTAAGGTTAACTGTTTCTACTGGGAAGGAGGCATAATTTGATTGGGAATTTTCACATACTCTTAAGGGACTGTAATAGAGAGGAATAAAAAAACACATCTATGGAGAGCCCTGTAAATGCCAGTCAAGGCTTAAGTGACACTCTAAAGATCCTGCCTTATCTAATTGTCAGAGCAAACCCACAGAGAGGTGTAGCAGCCCTCCACCCTCTTCAGCGAGGTGAGGCCTGCTCCACACATAAGGAGCAGTGAGTGGTCTTAATGCACATTTAAACTTGGCTTTCCCAAATGCTGCAGCCTTGAGTGTCATGGCCTTGAGTCCTGCCTTTCCCAGACCTCCCTAATCACTGCCTTCCTCTCTTGGACATGATTCAGAAGGGCTGGGACAATGGGCCCAGGAATTTGTATTTTAACCAGCATCTCAGGGGATTCTAACCATCAGAGAAGTTTGAAAAGCACTGGTGGGCAGTGGCTGTGTACCTGCAGCATCTGGATTGACCTGTGGGTGACGTGGAAGTTCACCAACAACTCAGCCTCCTACCCCAACGCTAGGAAAGGCCTAAGAACCAGGCTCCCAAGACACAATTGGGCTACACAGCATTCTGAGCCTTACTTTCCTCATCTGCTTCAGAGGGATGACAG